ACACACACACATGCATACATGCATACATGCATACATGCGTACATACCTACCTACATACATAGATACATAGATACATACATACATACATACATACATACATAATTACATACAAGCAAACATACAAACATACAACCATACAAACATACAAGCATACTAACATACAAACAAACACACAAACACACAAACAAACAGAAAAAAACAAACAAACAAACAGACAGACACACATACATACAGATATGCAGACATGCATACCTACAGACATACAGGCATGCATTCATACATACATACATACATGCATACATACATACATACTTAAATACTTAAATACATACATACATACTTAAATACTTAAATACATACATACATACATACATACGTACATACATACATACATACATACATACATACATACACACATACATATGTGCATACGTACATACAAACGTACATACATACATAAATGCATATGCATATACACACATATATATATATATTTATATGTTTTTATCTGTATTTGTCTCTCCCTCCATATGTGTATCTATACCTATATCTACATCACATCTATATCGGTATCTCTCTATATCATCTTTATTTTTGCATTTATGTTTGTATCTATACCAATACCTATGTCTTTATATATATATACATATGTATACATGCAGCGAGAGAAGTGGTATATGTACATACACTTACATATGTGCATACATACATATGTACATATGTATATATTCATAGACACACACACATATATATATATATACACACATATCCGTACATTCTCAACTAGCTTTCGCAGTTTTCGCTTTTGTATGTATTCATAGATGTGCATCATGACGATGTTCACTCGTATTGCAATTCTTATCATTACGCTTGTTGTCAATATCAGCACTATTGCCATCATCGTTGTCATTGCCATCACTCTACCACATCATTCTGACATTGGTTTCGCTTTGGGCTATCGTCACGTTCATGATTGCGATATTGATTTCGATCACAACGCCATTGAAGTCTTTTGGATGCCGCGTTTCTTGGGGTTTTCCTGGAGGGCGGAGAATACAGCTTTCTGCCTTAATGCCTTAATGATTGGAATAGGGTGTTGGGCTCCTTCATGGTATAAATATGTATAAATATAATAAGGAACCCTGAGGCCCCAAGGAATAATATTGGTAAGTATTNNCCCCCCCCCCCCCCGCCCCCATCTTCACAAAACGCTCTGTCCGAGGAGTGCCATTCGAGCGGCCGGGGGCCCCCAAGAGACTTGGCTTCTGAGGGCTCCTTTACAGGTTCCCGCAAGGGCTCCTCTTTAGGGCTCCTCCAGCTCCGTTAAGGGTTTGGGGTTTAGGNNGGTTTAGGGTTTAGGGTTCCTCTAAGCTCTTGTGAGGGCTCCTTGAAGGCTCCTTGAAGGTTCCTGGTGTACAGGGAGGGTTTAGGGTATACGGCCCGGGTATTTAGGGTCGATGTAATAGAGGATAGATGGAGGGTTTAGGTTGGGATCCTCATGGGAAGGATCCCTATGACGACTCAGGGACTTTATCAGGGTCCCTTGTTTTCTGAAAC